GATGACTCTCATGTTTTCGGAGCCGTTCAACTGCCACGTTTGCTGGGTTTGTGCACGATCATTCAGAGTACAGATTTGCCGAAGTCAATATCAATATGAGCAGTTATAAGCATCGTTCACTTGTGGTGGCTGTATTTGCAAGACAGCACGCAATGCGCTCGTGTTCAGTCATCCTCTAATTTCGTTTAGGTATCGATACTACTAAGCCAACGCCGCTGCTCAGTCATACAAAGCAGCGGTATTGAATGAGTATGAACAGTTGACGATCAACCAATGTCAATCCCTGGTGTGCATTGTGCCATTTTCGGCCCTTTCGGAAGCAGCCGGCACCTTCAGCACAAGCGATTGATTTTCGGCACTATTTTTGCGTAACTCAATGCAACTAATAAATATTTCTTTCGGATCCGCAATTAAAAATATCTTTTTTACATTTAATCTTATGTGCTTAAAGTGATAAATGATATAAACATAGAAACGCAAGAAGAATCTCCCTTCCACATTCTGCATATGCGCTTAACATTTTTGTTTAAACAAATTTGTCGAAATTTCATCTCTAAAGCAAATATTAAATATCATTTAATATATACTTTAGATTTAAATAATCATTTTTAGTGGTGGGCGATTCTGAATTGTTTAAATGATCGAGATAGTACATTCGCGTACATTCAATTCGCGTAGATTTTTCCAATTTGTATAAAAAAAATGCAAAAAAATATTAAAAATCAACATGAATTCTTAGCTGCACTTTCACTTTATAATACAAAAATTGAAACGACTATAAAACTGCATACCGTCAGTTGGGACACTCATGCGGTGAGGATGTTATCGCGCTTTTATTGATTTTATTGCCGTCAACAAGCATTTTCGTAAAAGCGCTAGCACAACCTCATCAACAAAGTTATTATTAATGGATAAAAGAGACATCTTTTTGGATTCGGTAATAAGTTTTGACATTTTAATAGCATTTCAAGTGCTTATCAAAACTTTACGACACTCACATATTGACAAGATTTGACCATTTATCTTAATATTATGTATTTTTATACCCGAGCGCACTTGTGCACAAGGGTATATTAATTTTGTTGGCATAACGGTTGTTTGTAACAGCCAAAACGAATCGAGATAGATATAGACAAATGTATACATAAATGATCAGGATGAAAAAAGAAATCGATTAAGCCATGTCTGTCTGTCCGTCCGTCTGTC